TATAACGGGTAATTTTTTTTCATCGTCGGATAACAAAGTAAACTCACATGACTTTCAGAAATGACTTTTCCAGAAATTCAATATATCACTCAAGAGGATAATTGTTTTTTTCATGCTTAGTTGACCATAGTTATTGTCATTTAATACGCATGATACAGACCCCTACATAGACCAATTAAAAGTAAGCTACATTGTAACTAAAGGGAGTGGAACAGGTTAAAGTTCGCAGTTAAAGTTCTCGAGTACTAGTACGCGAGTGGCAACTTCCCTTTTTTCAAGGGGATCCACCACTGCAGTCCTGAAAGGCACAAACTGGAGAAAAGATCAAAAGCTTTGCTACACAAAAGCGTCTCAGAAAAGGTACTTAAAATTGATTTCTGTAATGTTTGTGGTTATGAGGATGAATTTACCTAGTGTGAACGCAAGTTGCTATGGTATTCGTTAGTTATTGCGCTAGAGAAGGAGAGGTTGATGAACTTAAATTTTGTCTGACGCGAAGATATCTTTCCATTCTTTATTTCTCAATTTGTTAGAATAAGTTCATTTGAATACTACAATTTGTTTGGTGTCCGGCTAACTTCTCATACAAGTTAGATACCAACTAATAGAGGCAACACTAACTTGTTCACTGTTCGAAATCACTGATTTCGAGATGCGTGTTTGTCTGTTGATTTGCTTCCATCTTGTGTTTAACTTGCCATAGCCATCACAAACTCTTGAAAGAAGTGAAAACTTGTGCAGTTCCAGCATAGGTTTTTCTTTAAACCAAAATCGCAAGCAGTTTTTGCTTAGCAAAAAGCAGAGATTTTTAATAGCAAGAGCACAGATGTACTCCGCGATATAATCAAAAAACAGCTGAAAGTATGCCAGGAATATTTTTGTATCGCGTGACTAATATGTTAGACCAAAAATAGCAAAAACGAAATTTTGCTGATAATTCTGTGCAACAGCCGTGGTAATTACATTAATAATAATTAGGATAGATATGTACTAATCAATGATGACAAAGACATACACTTTGAGCTTTATCGTCTTATAAAGAAAGCGTTCATCTGTTTTTTTGTTGTTTTTTTTTTTTCACGTGAACTGGGAAGAGATTATGGAAAAAGTGGTAATAATAATAAGAATGATATAGATGATCACAGATATGAAAATAATTGTGATGATAATTATTGTAACTGTTATACTATTCTAGCCCGTGAATATACCTGCCACAGAAAAATTTGAAACAGATAATTTGAAAAAATTGTAAGGCGGTACATCACGGTTAGTGGGGTGCCATTTATGTCGGATCACGTATTATAACATTAATTTGCAACATTGTACCAAGTTGAAGGGTGTTTTCCGATATACCCAGTGGGATACAGTTTGCCTAGCGCAAATCGTCATATTTGGTTTACCAACTATCCAGCTCGATTATTTTGGGAGAAAAAAATCAAAGAGAAATTTCCTAAGAGGAGAATTCGTGAAATCAGAAACATCTTTTGTGGAGGAATGCGCCACTTTAAGAGATGTGCTACTTTTGAAGTTGAGTGAATTGTGGAAGAATGACTCCTCAGGCATCGTATAAAATCCCGGGGTCTGATAAGGTACATGTGTATTTCTCGAAACTAATCGTGCGATGTTGACTTTGAGATCGCGTGCACATCGGGGAATCGAACTAAGTCACGTTCGTTTGCAGGAGTCATCACGCGAGTTTCGCTTGGTCACTTGCCATGGGTTGTACACGCTATCGCACCAGAACGAGACTGAGGAAATGATTAAATTTGTCACAGTGAGGTGGCTGTTACGAAGTAATTGTGGCAAAATCATCACTAGATCACAAGATTTTTATGGGTGTGGCTTGTCTGGATTGTCAAATGAGCACGCTTGAACTCTCTGGAACCTGTAGATACCGTGCTGGGATATATTTCATGTCCACGTCGATCTCTCTAACAAGGCGAAATATCTAGCAAATTTTCTCAGACACCCCTTCCCGCCATTTTTAAAATTGTATGCGAGAGAGCTTATCAGAGTCGACCGACAATGATCAAACGGCATAAACCATTTTTTGAAAAACTAGTGTCTCGATTTTGCCCTAAAAAATTTGAGGTGTAGCTTTTAACCAACAAGTGATGATCTATGAGATTTTAATGGCACTGACGTTTTGACACGGCTTTGAGTGATCTTGTTGTAAATGCACCAAGGGAAAACGTTCTTTGAATGTTTTACATGATTGAAGTTTCTCTGTACAATATTTCTATCCAAAAAACATACGGAACAGTCACATCGAAAAAAGAGGGCAAAATCACAGATACACATTCAAGAACATCAATAACAAAAAAAAAATACATTTCTTGGCCCCTCACCGAACCTCTTACCTTTCCTTTTACTTGAATTAGTTGTGTGTATTCTTTCTTTCTTTCATCCTTCTACTTTGTCTTTTCTTGGCTCCGTCATTGATTTTCTTCGCCAACTTCCCCTCTTCGATTTCCCTTTTATTCCTGTTTCTTCTCTTTTCTTGCTCCTCTTTTGTGTGAATTTCCTTGCCTTCTCGTTCCAATCTTTTTTGCTCTACCCTTTCTATCAGCACATTGACATTGCAGTACAAGAATTAGAAAAGGAAACTTGATTTTATCAGCTTCTTTAACTTATCGCTCCCTTGAAGGACATGACAATTATCCGGTATCATTTTTCATTAGGCACTGACCACAACAATGCGTTAGAAATGGAGTATTCACAAATTCCAATTCCCACAGACTAATTGATTGCATTGTGCATTAGTGCTGATAAGCTATGCTTGACCTCGAGACCTAACATCATATCTCGTTTGAGACAGTTATACTATACACAAAAATTCTCCAATTGTATCAACGAAAGGCAGAAAAAGCCAGATGTGCCCACTTGGATGCTGGCATCGACTCCAAGCATCACAAGGTTCCCATCTCCTCTCTATGTCTTCTTGAAGATTAATCTCTGGTCGCGTTCTACTCCAAACGAAGTATTCAATTCTATCTCCACTGTTTTCTTTCTGCGATGGAAAAAAAAAATGGTCTGACTTCGCTCATTCTAAAAGGCTCCATCGCTAACCGAGGCGCTATGGATCTACTGCAGCTTTTCAGTGGACTATACCTGTCAGTCTTAGTCTTCAAATGAGATCACGATATGCTCATCTTCCTTCTGTATAGAAATTGGTACAACACATGTGACTGCTTCATACATTGTGATATATGCTTACGCCTTAGAGGTCAGAAATTGGGTAGAATGGACTCCCATGCGCCTGCCGTCCATTCAGGTTGCCACAATGTGAATATATTCTGGCTTTATGAGCCATGAACGCACCTGAGTGCTGCCACGCTACAACTGAAGGAGATATGCATTTTACATTTCAGCTCACTACTTTTGAGACGTTCTGCAACTGGTCTCCACGCCGCCTACCGAGCAACGTCCCAAAAAATTGCATACATTTTAATTCCAATTTCCTTCCTGGCTATCATCATCTCTCTATAGCAACTGGTTGAGCATTTCTCGCCGGAAAATGCCTCGGTACGACGAGAGAAGAAGGTTGACTGAATACACGTTAAAAAACCATTTGGAATTTATGGCTAATAACAAAATACTGGCCAATTTCCGATACGAGAGCAGGCTGTTTTATTTCTTCTAAGAATGCTGATATTCTTTTGCCATGTGAGGCAAGTGAAAGCTTTTGGTCCAACCAAACGGTTGCCTGGCTATTCTTCTCGCCTTCTGTTGAGCTTGCCGATTTCTACATTGCTTGTCTTCGTCGTCTTCAAGCCGCTGAGCGCTGAGCGCTGGCTCTCTTGGTTCGAGAGTCATGCAGCTGTGTCTGTGCTTCGTTGTATCAAGAAGAAATGAACTACATATTATTGCCCATCTCTACCATTCGACGTTTATTAGTTATTCAGGCTAACATCCCAGTCCAAATCAAATAGTAAAGCATTCTCAATGACCCAAAAAACCTCTTTGCTCAGATGCAAGGAAAACAACACCACTTAGTAGGATTAAAGGTATCCCTGACACCAATGCACAGCCGAATGCAATTTTGTCCAAACTGTTCCTCTCCTTTGACAGTACTGTCCAGGGAATTAGCGGAATGGATGTTGAGGACTTTTGAATTGTAATGTCTTCTGCACGCTGCCGGCTCGTTGGTTTCTTAAGGATATCTCCTCGCAGATGTATTCCTTTGCTGTACTGATGATGCTCTCTGCCGGTATTCTCTTAGTTGCTTACATTCCTTTCATCCTCAAAAATGCAGAAAATGGCATCTCCATTTATGTTACACTTCAAGACTAATAAAATGTTCCACGAATGGAGGTGTCATCCTCTATGAATGTAGCAGATTCAAAGTTTACACAAGCATTTGTTAGCTGCTGAGATCGAAGCAGAGTCCTCTAAACAGAGCTGATCCACGGCTAAGAGTGAGGTTCAACAGTACTTTTAAATTCTATTTTCAGAAGGGACTGCTCTTCTTCAACATTGTTAGCCAAGTTTTTAAAGCCAGAACCAGGAGCAAAGCATTGTTAGCTTCCTCCAGTGTACTAGTTGGATATTGCTCTCAAAACGATCCCATAGCTGTTTAACCTACACTTACGAGCTGACTTTTCAGTAGAGTGACCAATTGTGTGTCTCTGGGAACCCTCTGGCAGAGTTGTGAGCACTGAGCTTTAAAGATGATCATTGTAATAATTGATTCACTAAAATTGCTGCCATAGTCTTACTCGTCCGGATCCTTCAATCATTTCGGTGTCCATAAGTTGTGCATGTTTTTCACGGACATTTTTCGAGCAAAACTTAAGAGACGCATTATCATCATCAGAAGTCTTTAAAACTGATGGATGTTTACCTATTCCGCATCTATTTTTGCGTTCATGTTTGCTACACACGAACTTGTCTTTCATCCCTCTTGCCCAGGCTCTTTCAGGCGACTAGTTCACAGCTCGATGCACGCTATCATAACTTTCACCCCATTGTTCGATGCTGCGACTGTTACCGTGGTTAGTCTCAAGTCTTTAAATCTTCCAGTGTCACATCCTACAACTTCTCGCTTGTCCACAGATTGCCAACATTTTTCGAAGACACCAATGTATTATGTAATCAGCACTGAAAATGTCCATAAAAAAATGATCTTAATCAAGTACCAGCTCTCCTTTTCTCTGCAAGAAGCTGTCTAAGCGATCTATTACTGTTAAAATCTTCTCCATATCGCATATGTATTTGAACAGAAAAATTTACCCATGAACCGGTGATCCTTGCTACAAACTGCACCTCTAAAGATCTTTACACAGTGTCATAACACGACTCTCGATCCCGAATAAAACGTGCCACTCATGAGTCCAAAGTCCAAATTCACAGAAAGGGTC